AAGAGTGCTACCCAGATAAAATGGTACCCGTGTAGATATGCAAAGTCTTGTAGATCATACCTCAAAGCGAATTTTAAAATCTATCGATATTGATGTAGAAGATAATACAGAGTTACTTTTAGTTAGTAAGTGGGGATGTGATGGTGCTTCCGGGTAATCTGAATACAATCAAAAATATGTACAAGGTTATAATCAAGAAACATCAGATAGTAGCATCTACATGGTATCCATGGTGCCTTTACTACTTAGAACTGGCTTTGACTCAACAATTTGGAACACTGATTTGCCTTCATCTACGAGATGGTGCCGCCCTATTTATTTTGAATTGTAAAAGAGTCCCCTAAAAAAGTTTTGGATATTTACAACAAAATAACAAAAAAAATTTCCCAGCTAAAAAAACAGAAGTATCAATATCCGGAAAAAGTTTCTCTGTTAAACACGACATGAAATTTACCATGATTGATGGAAAGACAGCACAAATCATAACAAAAACTCCTTCTGCTTGTAAATGTTTTATATGTAAAGCAAATCCGACAAAAATAAACAATTTACAAAATGTTGTCCATAAGCCAACAAATGAAGAAGCTCTTCAATTTGGATTATCTACTTTATATGCCCGCATTACGTTTATGGAATGTATATTACACATTGCCTACAATTTACCATTTAAAAAATGGAGAGCCACAAAATATCTGCAGAAAATTAAGGAATCTGAAAAAAAAAAAGAATTCAACAGGAATTTAGATCAAAAATGGGTTTAATAAGAGACGTTGTTAAAACCGGCTCAGGTAATTCCAAGTCTGGAAACACATCAAGAAGATTTTTTCAAAATCCAACCTTAGTTGCTTGCAGAGATAACTAAGTTTGATTTTAACTTAATAGATAGGTTTTAAACCATTCTGCAAGCTATCACTAAACAAAGCTTGATAGATCCAAATAAGTTGGGAATGTTTGATCAGCAAACAGCAAAGTTGTTTGTGGAACTGTCCTGTAACAGTTCATAAAATATTAGTACAGAGTCAAGCCACGTCAAGTGGAACCAGAAAATTTCACGATATCACAGATTTTGAAAATAATCACAATATTGTGTGTGTAGTAGGCATGACTCATATGTCACAGTAAAAAATTTGTTTTAAAATTCGTTTTTTTGGTAATGTTATTAAGGTTAACATTTTGTCAAACTTTAGAGCACGGTAAAATTGAAAAAATATAATCTCTGGGACCACTCCGTATAATTGAATTAAATTTTACATACTATTGTAGCAATGTTTAGACTATAGAATGATCATTTAATTAAGATAAATTTGTTTAAATAAAAGAATTTTGCATACATTTATTATAAACAATTAAAATCTTGTGTCATAATATGCGGCAAACGTTCCCGTTTACTAAAATATACTAAAAAATTTGTCTTTCACATATCATTCCGGAGATATTAAATTTTTTGTCCCGCTGCAGCGCACAGCGCGCTGTGCGCTTGATCAGTACGCGGCGCGCTTCGCTGCTAGCTCGTCAGCACACAGTGTGCCTGAACGAGGTTTAAGTAACATAAAAATTCCGCCAAAAACTGATTGCAGTTTCTGGTTCGGGACCCTTTGGTCACTTAAAAATGATGATTTTTTTTTTAATTTTTGAGATAAATCTTTATCGTGCATTATGCTTTTTACTATATAAAAAAGTGATATTTGGTAACCCTGTATTTTCTAAGTCTCGTTAACAATATTCTCCAATAAAAATCGGTGTACAAATGTGTACCTACTCTTGCAAAGGTAGACTTTGCGATAAACAAATAATTAAAAGAAAATGAATTTTTTACAGATTTAAAAAAAAGCAAATAGAATTTTGGTAAATATCGTTTTTAAATCACCAAAGAGTGCCGATCAAAAAACTTCAACCAGTTTTTCGTTCAAAATTGAAAACTACTAAAAAGCCTAAATTAAACAAAATTTTAAATTTTCTCTAAGCGTTATTTTATTTAATTTTATTAAAAATGTATTTTTCTTGTAAAAGGTTAATAAGAAAGCCATTTTGTAACCTGATAAATATGCCAAAACCATGAATTTATTCTTTTGCTTTATTATAATTAAGTGATTTTTGGCTAACCCTGTATACATTAAATGATGTAAACAGTATTATAAAAAATACAAATGTGTACTCTGTCAAAGGTAGATAGGATTTCGGTTTAAGTCACCAAATGGTCCCGAACAAGAAACTGCAATCAGTTTTTGGCGGCATTTTTATGTGACTTAAACTTTGTTCAGGCACACCGCGGTGCACCGTGAGCACAGCTTTCCGTTAAAACGTTAGAACGGACGAGCTAGCAGCAAAGCGCGCCGCGTACTGATCAAGCGCACAGCGGGACAAAAAATTTTATATCTTCGGAATGACATATGAAAGACAAATTTTTGAGTACATCTTATTAAACGGAAACGTTTGCCGCATATAATGACACAAGATTAATTTTTTTTCAGCGTGAAGAACACATAAAAAATTTCAATTGTTTATAATAAATGTATGCAAAATTCTTTTATTTAAACAAATTTACCTTAATTAAATGATCATTATATAGTCTAGTTGCTACAATAGTGTGTAAAATGTAATTCAATTATACAGAGTGGTCCCAGAGATTCTATTTTTTCAATTTTACCGTGCTTTAGAGTTTTACAAAATTATTAACTTTAATAACAATAACAAAAAACCGAATTTCAAAACAATTTTTTTACTGTGACATATGCGTCATGCCTACTACACAATAATGTGATTATTTTCAAAATCGGTGATTTCGTAAAAAAATTTGGTTCCACTTGACGTGGCTTGACTCTACATGGAAAGGAGGTGATGGAAAATATATCTTTACCAATCGGGGTCCTTTTAGAGGAGGCACAAGGCTCCCGAAATAAAGATTTCAAAAAATTTAGGTACATTTTTTCAATAAAAAGAAACAGGACAGCAACAAATGAAGATATTTTACACCGACTTTTAATATCATCTGATCCTTTTATAACATTTGCAAGGAAAAAATATCATGTATAAAATACGAACTTCGAGATGAAGGATGGTAATATAATTTATTTAGTTTTGTTTGTATTTTTTAATAAATGAAACAACCAAAAGTAGTGTTTTTACAATATAACTTACTGTTAAAATATATCTATAATTATAATATGTATTATGGCAATAAAAAATAAAATTATTTCCGCCAAAAAGTTATAAAACCCATATTAAAAAATTCTATTCTATTTTCTATTTTTTTGGATTTATGTTATTAAATAAATCATACCTAGCACAGGTAAATAAAATAAAATAAATATATTTATATTTAAACGGTGTATATATAAACGGTGTATTTTTACAATTTAAAAATGCGATAAAAAATAAAAGCCTTAAGTTTTTGATGTAAAATCTTCGGCAAGACACGTCGGGCAATCATCATTGCATGATCATCGCCGATGTTTCCTATTGATTTAATGGCGACGTCTATTTCCATCATCGGGTCGACGTAAAATACATCTGCATGCGATGTTTGGCCATAACTCGGCCAACGTATTAATGTTTGCTGGACCGGGGCCCCGCGGGGGCCTGGGACGGACCTTAATATGATCAAAAATGGTCAGAACAGATATGTTTTGGTCATTTTTAAACGTTCTACAAAAATGGTCTTTTTTAAAAGTCATTCAAGCTTAAAGTGAAAAAAGCGTTTCTTACTTTTTATGTAAAACTATCGGATTTATTATAAAATGTCATAATACTTTTTTGTGGGATACTTTATATCTTAAAAAAATATGTTATTTTATAATTTTTAAATCCTACAGTTCAACAGTTACTGGTTTTACAAATTAACAATTAATTTCAAGAAAATAGCAATTTTATCTCAAAAAATTAATTTGTATAACCAGTAATTATGAAAATTTTTGAATGATATATTCTTGTGGAAAATAAAATGATCTACAAAAAAGATTCTATGACATTTTGACAGATGTCAGATGGTTTTACCGGAAAAAGAAAAAAAACTTAAAATTTAATATAAATTTAACTTAAAGCTTGAATAACTTTTGAACGAGTATATTTATTAGTAAATAATAGGAAACCTTATTTGTAGAGCGTTTTTTTTTATAAAAATATGTTTTTTTCATTTAAGTCCATTAATCCGTTTACGAGTTATACAATTCCAAAATAAACAAATCTCATTTAAATGGAAATAGAAAATCGCGATGAGCGAGACTATTACATTAAAAAAAATTGTTTTTTGCAAACTTTAAAGGCCTCTTGGCAAGTTGGGTTGAATCAACCTATTTTCAACAAAAGAGTATGTGGCCCTACATTGTATTGGCTTTTTTGGTACACCCTGTATAAATGCTAGAATGTTTTACCTATTTCTTTTATTTATATTATTTATTTATTTCAAGAATAAGTGTTATTTGTCTCTTGGTTTTTATTTTTGACCTAAGAATGTTGTTTTGTTTTTATTTGTTAATAAAAGTAATGCCTTTTATATTCATTTTTTATTTGTTTGTTATGTGGGTCATTCCGACGAAAAAAATAAATAAATTTTTTATTAAAACAGTATGTAAAGCATAAATTTAAAAAGTTGTTTAATATCTATAAATATTTGAAATCTTTTTGACAAACTTGACAAACAGCTTTTGTCCAGGGCTCCCATAGATAACGCCTCTGAGCTACGTTTAAAAAAAATACATCTTTTCAAAACCAAAACCTCTGTTCTAATGTATTTGTAATTATATACCTACCTGAGCAAATCCAAAAGGGTGTTTTAGTAGGTATACCTATAGGTACTCTCATTGTAGAGAAATTATTTAACGCAATTAGTATTGTATTACTATGGGATAATATTAGCTTTATTGACTTTAATTCTTATGATTTTTTGATTCCTTACAATATTTTATTCTAAGAGATAGGTAATACGGTTAAAAAAACTTGTGCAATTAATATTTTAACAAGAATAAAAAATATTATGGACTTTTATGAACTCATAAACTTACCCTCTAAACTTTGGTCATATCCTTTGGTAAAAAATAACATGGCTTTAGCAGCTCGTTCAGGTGTTTTAAGGAGACCCTGCCTATCAGGATTTTCTCCCAAAGAACTTAAAAGTAATCTATAGGATCTTGACATTTCTGGAAGCATTGCTTCTCTGGTTGGTGGCCTGTGATCTAATTCAAGGTCATGGTGAAATGTACATTTTTCATGCCCTAAAAATTGAGATAAAAAACACAAATAATTTTACAGGGTAATCAAAAAAATTCATATTTTTCTTATAATAATTTTTTTAAATTAATTAATAATTAAAATTTTAAAAATAAGTAAAACAAATAAAAAATAAAATTTGAGTTGAAGCTTGTTATTAAACCGATTTTTTTTCAGCGGTAAAAGGTATAGATTTTCTTGTCTGGTAGTTTGTTAATGTTCATTATTATTTTTAACTAAATACCTACCATTTATAGTTATGAAATAAAATAAAAACTTCCTTTAAACAATGACGGGACGAAATGGGGATAAAAATGCCAAGACTCGTAATCCGACACTTTAGAAAAAATTTAACCTTAATATATAAATCGCATTTTATTTTAAAATTAAATTTCAAATACGTTTAATTTTTGAATTTCCCTTATTAAATAAAAATAAATGCTGCATAACATTTTTCTATAAAACAACATGTTAAAAACAAGTGAAAAGATAATCTTGTCAAGACATACATAGATTTAACTTAAATAAACGTTTTAAAATAATAATGAAATTGTTAAATTATAATAAATATTATATTATATTTCCTTTTATAATTTTTCATGTTTTGATACATTTTGCCAATTTTAGGTACGTATCCACAATTTACATGGATTATAATCACAATTTGTGACGTATACATACTATCTTGATAAATCAAATTTGAGGCATTTCACGATAAGCGACAACAAAAATATAAAATGTGTTTGTATTACTACCATTTTTTTACTTAGAGCTCATGCATGCAAAAAAATGGATTTTATATGTAACCACCTTTTGGCTAGTATGATTTAAATAATTTCTTTTACAATTTTATATATTTTGAAATTGGCTTAAATTTAGTACGGGTAAGAATTAGTTTCGATTTTTCTTTTAATGCCTTCAAACGCAACTCTATTTAAAAAGATGAACATTTTTTGTTATTAATGTAAAATTATTATTTAATTTTTTGGAGAAAAGTTTAAAAAAATGGATTAAGATAAATTTCACTATGGCCTTAACCCTTTTAACACCTTTTCTGTATTCACAATGGTAAATTGTGTTTTAAATGCTCTATCAATATATTATGAACTTTGTATTAGTTTTCAGATAAAAATAAACTTTTTTGCATTCTGGCAAAATATATTAAAAATGTAATTAATTATAATCCTAAAGTTTGTGTTTAATACTTTTTAGTTATGGCATTTGTCTTCACAAGGTATTTGTTATAAATTTCATTAGTCTAACTGCAATCAAAATCCCATTTTGCAAAATATAATAGCTATTGTCCCTGACTTTCTGATTATTCTATAAATTATACCAGGCTTAACGTTTAAGTAGAACAGTGGTCAAGGATTTATATACATTTAATTTAGAATAATATTATATTATAATACTTTAAATTCTCTTTTATATACCTAACAACTTGAAATTACAAGGTAAATTTCATAAAATTATTTCGTATCCTTAACAAATATTACCTAACAATAATTTTGGGAAAAAAATTAACTTTTTATTATTTATTATAATATACCTATGCAAGTATTTATCTCTATTCTAACATAAATTAATAACAAAATATGATTATAAAACATTCTTATTCAATTAGCGTTTGTTTGAGTTTAAAAACAATAAAAAAATAAAGAGTTATTTAAGTTATCGTCATAAAAGTGTAATGAACAATTAGTACAGTATAAAGTAGACAAAATTGGTGTTGGTAAATTTTCTAAGCAATATATAAAACAAATAAAATGTATAGTCAAAGTTTTTGTTACAAATCTATTAACGAAATGGCGTGTAATTACATGTATGTACAACCGTTTTATCAAAAAACAGATGAAATGGCTTAATGAAGACGTTAAATTCCCAGAAATGCAGCCATACCAGTGTATAAAAACACCACGAGGTAGACCAAACAAATTATTTAGAAGAACTGTGCTCAGCTGCAGAAACAAGCTTGGTAAAATCATGCAAGAGAACTGCAGCGCAAGTTATGAAATTGGCAACTGAAACTTCGCCCAAAAGACTAAAAAAATGAAGGTGGTAAATAATGCACCTTCTGCGACTGTAAGACCGTACAACCTGAAGAAGCTTTGGGTCTTATCTTGGGTTAACGAAAAAAGATTACACCACGATGCGACTGGAAAGCGGTGCCGATATTTATTCCTCAAATCATTTAATAGCAAAGGCAAAAAAGTGTTATCCTGCAAACATCAAATTAACCTTCTATGGTGTTGATGAGGGAGATAATGATGTGGATTTTAATATACAATATTATTTTTCTAGAAATTAAACCTTATGTACCTACCTAATTTATTAATTTAAAATACAGTATTAATTAAACATGCAATTGTTTTCTTTTTATTAGCCAAACTAACCTATGTTAGAAGCGCGTCTCCCGAATGGTATGGTCCAATGACTAATACACCATACCCACCATACCCAACACTGATAGACACTGTTTCGACCTGTTGGGTCTCATCAGTGTTAGACAGTCGGTGACGGGAGACACGCATCAAGCTCGGCACTGTTCACTTATAAAGAAATAATTACCAGGACAGCGGCGAGATGTACCGGCAAGTCAGTCTGGAGACATATACCGTCTAAAGACGTGGCCTCGCTGTGCGGCGTGCAATCACAATGCACTGTGCATAATTAAATCCTAAAATTTAATTTATTCGAAAGTTTTTAAGTCATTACAAAAATATAGAGTTATCACGTTTACGTCAAAACATTTTTTTAATTGGTAATGTTGGTGTCTAAATAGTGGGTAATAAATTACCATCAAAATTGCAAGCTTCAAAAGTTTTTTTTTTATACACGTATATTAAACGCTACTATACAAGAAAGTATTGCTGCTGTAATTGATGAAGTTATTGTGTTTTGGAAAAAAGCTCAAAAAATTATACGATGAGTGGCGCATACTTGTTAAACACAAAAATCGGAGTGACGGGGCTGTAAAAAAACGAAATGAATTTTTCAATTATTTGACATTGCACCGTGAAATGTATTTGAAGTTGTTGATGAAAATTCTAAAAAATTCTTGACCAATCAGAGATCAGATGATCGAATTGGTTTTATTGCGAATATTAAAACGAAAAATGATGAAGATGATAAAGATGTTAATAAATTAGACAAAGAAATGGATTTTGAAAAACGAAAAAAAAAGTGAAGAAGAAAAATCAATATTAGGTAATTTATAAGAATCAAATGTTCAATTGATTATTTATTATTCAATAACGTAGATAGTCTTATCATCATATTATTCTTCTTATTTGTTTTAGATAAAAATGTTAAACTTTTATCCATTTAAGAAAGTGCTCTATCTGCATCCAGTGAAGATGTATACTTTCCAACCACTGCCGGACCATCAGAATCCTCAGCGAGTTGTAGCTACTTTAGATCGATGTACACAAGTGACAGAGATGCTGTATTTATAGTAACAGCTATCTGTCAGTCTCTTATTGACATAAACCTACTAGATGTGGATATTAACTCTTTTATTATCAATCGATCATCCATTCGACGACATCAACAAATTCTGCGAGAGTCGACATAAATTGAAATAAAAAAACCTTTTCAAGACTTGAAGTTATCATCTATTGTTGTACATTGGGATGACAAATTATTACCTAATTTGTTAAATACAGAAACTCTGTGGGTAAAAGGCATATGGGGATAAGTTAAAAAAAGCAATATTTCAGTAGAGCCTTAAACATATTCGCATTTTACTTATCCCCTTATGCCTTTTACCCACAGAACTGTTCATCGATTACCTGTAATAATTACTTCGGAGGATAAAGAAATCATGTTAGGTGTACCAACGAGTGGAGATTGGACTGGAATGGCACAAGATACTATTGTTCATGAAACATTACTTGATTGGGGATTCGATACATCCGTTAAAGCGATATGTTGTGATACTACTTCTTCAAATTTAGGTATTTGAAATGGTGCTGCTGCATTATTAAAGAAATTTTTGGAGAAAGATTTGTTATATCTTTCGTGTATGCATCATATTTTTGAGATCGTCCTGAGATATATATTCCAAGCTGTTTTTCCGAATACTGTTGGGCCTAATGTTCCACTTTTTTATCCTATTTCAAAAGCAATGGGAAGCTTTAGACAAACTAAATTACAAAACAGGATTAGATAATCCGAAAATTGGAAATGTATTAACAAATGTAAAAATTAGGTCTCTAAAAACTTTTGCCACTGAACTTCTGATAACAAAGCTGCCTCGTGATGATTACAAAGAGTTTTTGGAGCTTAGTTTAGTCTTCATCGGTGTCATCCCAGAAAAATTTAATTTGCAGGCAAGAAATTTATAAATATTTACCACTGTTCACAAAGTTGAAAGATAATGAAGAAACCGACAATTAGATCTATTTAGATTGTCTAGTTGGCGCCCCAACTGTTATTCCGATATTTGTAGCATAGAATTTAAAAATGGGGTTATCGTTATTGCCCCCTGTTCTTAATTCCCCCACTCTAAAAGACCAATATAAAAGCAGGGGATTTTCACAACCTTTTTTGTATGCTACACTAATAATTTAAACCTTCTATTTTGTACCGAGGCACGCTCGTTTAAAATGGTAAAAAGTATTGGATTTCATAGTGGCCGCGGTACATTTTTACAACATTTTGTGTCCGTTATAGTTGCCGATTGTACTCAACGTGTTGTATTCATAAATATCAAAATTTAGTTGGTTAGGTACCTAATTGATTGAAAACCAAAATAATTATTGTTGTTTAGTTGATTCATTAAATACGCTTTAAAGGGGTTTAGTTATTGCTGTCAATAAAATGTCTTTAATAGATAAACTATTGGGTTTAGCAAATCTACTTTTAATTGCATGCATAACAATTTCTATATATTGGCAAAAAAGAAAGATGCCCCTACGACAAGCAAATTTGTATGGCCAAAACTCTTAAATTTTTAAATATTTCAAAATGGAAAATATTTTGTTTAGAGCGAATTATAATTACCTAGATAGGTATTATAGCATATTGCATTGTTTAAAAAAAGGAAATATAATACCGATGCAGAGGCGTTAAACAATTTTTCAATGGAGTATTATAAAAAAATTGTTTTATAAGAAATGTCGGTATTTTAATTAAACATTAATAACAATATGTAATAATATTTATTTTAAAAATTATTCTATTGCATTGCGTAAATTTAAATTTAATTTGTTTTTGATACATGCAATATTGCAATTATTATTATTAATAATTATTATTTTTAATATGCACGCTCCCTTTAAGCTTTTGAAGTTTTCTGTCTAGTTAACAAACAAAATTTGTTTGTCATCTTGAAAGTAAACTTCAAACTGAGGTATTATTTAATGATTAATTATTATTTAATGAGGTATGATTAAATTTTATGCAATTTTTATTCCAGAAACTTCTATTTTGTAGCTTTAAAATGCCATATGATCTTTAAGAGAAAAATGTATACATCTAAAAACGTAAAGCACAAAAATAAAACTTTTTAAATGCTTTATTTTGGACTGGTACTGGGATTCCGTGAAAAGTCAGCAGGGTTCCGCGAATCAGTGACATTTGTCCATAGGTGTGTGGGTTGTGGGCAGGGGCGTGCTGGCAGAATCAATGCAGGCCTGGACTAGATGGTAGAGCAGTCCAGGCACAAGCCAATTTCATATAAATTGTAAAAATACATCACAATTAAATACCTCGACTGAAAAAACTTCCCGTGATAACTCTCTTCGCAACAAAGAACTGTTTTCAGCTAATTCAATTATTAAGTCACAATCTAAACCATTTTGCACCAGCAATCAGCATAAAAGCTTCCAAATTTACGTCACTTCACACTAATATTAAAGGAAAGTATTATCACAAATAAATCAATACAAAAACTGCGAGAGGGGTCTTTTTTGGATGCTTTTGTAATTATGTTTCTGTTTGTCTATATATCCGTGCAGATCCCCCTTCCGAATTTATAAATTGACTAAAATTGCATTTTATCGAAGTGGCTCCGGATCAGTTTGAATTTCCAAAGAAACGGAAAAAAATTACGAAAGCATCCAAAATATCCCCACGGTTTAGGGTTTCCACCTGCGACTTCTTGGTTAAGGGTTAGCATAAAAAATACGCGTGAGTCAATTAAAACTTTCTTTTTTTTAATTTATTTTAGTGTTTAGTGATATAACTTGAAAAAACTTTTTGTTTGGTATAAAAATCTTTTTTCTATTTGCATACCATAACAAATCCAGCAGACCACCATGGTAGCGCAGGCCACCGGGCTTTCGCCCGGTGTCCCGGCGGCCCAGCACGCCCCTGGTTGTGGGTGCGTCTAAAAGAACCGCATATATGCCTATAAACATCTTTAAACTCCAATTTTAATTGCCGTATCCTTTATTTATTATCATTTTATGATAATAAATAAAATATATTATGGTTCGCGGAACCCCGCACAAAATAAATCATTTGCAAAGTTTTATTTTGTGTTGAGTTTAGGGGTGTCAATCCCGAGCCCTTTTACAAATCCCGGGACTTTCGGGACCAAAGGTAACTAATTCCAGGTCCCGGGATCAGTCCCAAAAAAATATAAATTTTTAATTTTAAAACCAATTTAAAATAAAGGAACAAACAAATTAATAAACGATATCTTTCGGACTTTACACTAGTTGAAGGAATGGTTTTCAACAATTCCTAGGCACATTGTACCCACGTTTACCCCCAATAACAAATAATTCCATTTCTTTTATCAATCGGGCCTTGTTGAGTTCCAATTGAGACTGTAACTTTCATTGAAATTATCGAGTTTGTGACATTTTTTCAGGTTTGACGTTTGAAATATGTTATATTATAGGTTATGAACATGAATTTATTCTACAGTGACCTGTAATTTTACATTTTTTTTGCTAATTTTATGCTTAACGCGATAGATGGAATCACTCTTGCTATGTAATTGCAATGTATTTTCATTATTGTACTGCGGTGTATAATATTTTGACTTTTGAGCTGGGTACAAAAATGAAGTATTTCTATATATGCTGTATACCTATATACTCATGTATTAAGTATATTTTATTCTTTGTAACTTATTACTAGGGATGGGATTTTAGTTATTTTACCTTTTTTCAACCGATGTAACTATTTGAAAACCAATAATGCCAAAATGTGTTTTAAAAGATTTTCTTTTATATGAACCTAACTTGTTTTCACCTTTTTTACCTTTTTTGGAGGTTTTTGCTTTAAACTACCTTTTAATACTTTTTTACCTATTTTTTTAACTTGTTTTCACCTTTTTTATTACCTTTTTTGGAGGTTTTTGCTTTAAACTACCTTTTTATACCTTTGTTACATATTTTTTAATTTGTCAGTTTATTTTCACCCATTTGTTACCTATTTTACTTTTATGTGTTCTTTTTAAATTTAGCGACAAATATTGTATCCAGGGCGTGCAACTCAACGGTATAGATTTTTTCTTATGGTCACTGTAACAGTAACCCTCTTTGTAGTGAGCTTATGTTCTGTCATAGAACTTCTGTGTAGTGAGTGTCACTCAGTGAAACACAGTTTATTGCATAGAAATAGTTTATTGTGGGTATGTTCTGTGTTTGGGTATCCGGCTAAACAAAATTATAAAAAATGCCCAAAACCAAAGAAAATCCTCTAAATAAACTCAGCAGTTGGTTAGAGGGGACGAATAAGGTTTTTCTATTGACGGAAAAAACTTATTTTGTAGAGTTTGCTTTAAAATTGTAAGGACTTTGAGGTTATATTAAAACCTCGGTTAAAACATTTTTCTTTAATTTATATACATTTTAGCTATCTGTTTGTTACTCCAGTAGTAAATTTGGTAAATATCAGGTATTCCCTGTTATATTTTCATTTCCTTATAGCTTTAATTAACTATTGGTCAGTTTATAAAAAAAAATTTTTATGTTACTTAATAAAAATAAACGAAACTTGAACTTTTAATGTTTTTTTTTACCTAAAATGCTGTTTTTTTTAACCTAAAATGCTTTTTTTAGTACCTTTTTAGTTACCTATTTTTCAGTTTTTAGTACCTAAATATCCCATCTTTACTTATTACTAAGATACCGGGATTGGGACTTTTGATCCGGGGATTTTTTACAGGATCCCGGGACCCCGGGATTTCGGGATCCGGGGATTGACACCATAAAATGGTTTAAATTTAAAAACTGCTCTTATAGAGAATGGTCTGAATTTTCACCTTTATGTAAAAAAACATATTTCTCTTAACATACATTATAATAAATTGTGTTTATTTCCAAATATCTCAAAAATATTAGTTTTCAATACATGAAATTACTTTAAACCTTAGATAATAATAATAAAAATAATAATATATCTTTATTGCCCAACAGTAAAAAACTTTTTAGTGGTGTTTCTCAAATGCAATAAAAAATCAAAATGCATGTATGATATTAACATTATCTTAGTAGCCTGTCGAAATTTAACTTTAATTAGAGGCTTTTAAGCAATTATTATAATAAAACATAATATAAAATATCCATCTTCAAAGTTTTAAATAAAAATTACATGTATTTTTATGCTCTTAATTATTTACTTAATATTTAATATACCTATATATATATATATATATATATATATATACCTATAGGTACCTATGTGTAAAAATATTACAATAACTCTATTAGGTTTTATAGGTATATGTAAATAATTAATTAAAAATAAAATTTTAATCTCGCAAATTGTATCCCTTAAAGGAATTCCTATTTTCGGGTTGTTTTCGTATATTAAATATATTTTTGCAATAAAACATCCTCTACATTTTTGTCTCAAATTGCAACTGCATTTAAAAACCAATAATATCTTAAATTCATACTAAATGATACCTAATCATTTAATGATTCTAAATGATTTATGGGTCTTACAAAGTGTAAAAACTATTGTGTTTGTGATGCAGTTGTCAATATATGTAAATTGTCATTACTAATTACTCATAACTGGTTTTTTATTATTTCTTAATAGCGTGTTTTAAATGTTCTAATCAGAGCCGGATTTTATTAAAAATCAAATATTAAATTCGAATAAAATACATTTAATACCAAAAAAATTTCTTAAATAAATTTAAGAAGCTGTTTTACCAAGAAATATAATAAACTCTTAAAAAATAAATAAGAATTTAACACTTCAACATATTATTACATATTTAAAAACTTTTTAAATAGGTATGTATATATGTATAAACTAGTTAATTATAATAAATTTTGCATTTTTAAATTAAAATTAGATTAAAATTTAAAAAAATGCGTTAATTTAAGAAAAAAATTAAGTTTTAATTAAATAATTTATTAAAAGTAAAGAAAATTAAGAATTTACTAATTTCTAACCTGGGGTAGTGGAAGTCCTAGGTGTTTTTGGTGTACCAGGGACTTCGACTTCGGTTTCATAATTTTCGGACCATGTCCTAGATAACACAGGTTTTGGTTTCTTTGCATTATTGCAATGATCTCCGTTTGTAGCCATGTCAAACAATTATTCTAATACTTTCACTAACTAGATCGAGGTTATTTTCAATCACGTGCGCAGGGCCCGGAAAATCAAAGCGGCAACGATCCAGAGCAAGAACTGAACACAAACTGACTGCTTGCAGGAATGCTGGACTTTATCTATATATTGCGCGCCATTAAAGTTGGGTAGGGCTGAATAATAATAATAATAACTATAAAATAAAACAGGTATATTCCATAATCCAAGAATTTTAAAGTCATTATTTGTTTCATAGTTCAGGAAAATTTATGAAATAGAAAATTAAATCAGAGAATGATAAAAAATATTTACAACTTATTAACTGTGTAATAATAGTAAAAACATATTAAAAAAATTCGTTTAATATACAAATTGTAAAAAAGTCTTAAATATAGAAAAATATATATTCAAACAATTTTATTTTTTTCAAACAATTTCAAAATTATATGTACAGACAAGGAAATGTTTAAGGTCTCTTTGAACGCTCCCTTGAAACCATTCGTATTTTGGTAGGATTAATTATAATTATCTGGTTACCAAACCTATTTATTTTTAAACTCAATAGTTCTACCATTATGTAGAAAGTGTATACTACTAAGTACAAGTCTTGTATCATGAGTCTTGTATACTATAATAAAAGTGTAAACCATTTAAATGTATAATTTTAAGATAATTTAAATAAAATTTCTTAAAATATAATTATAATTATATTATAATTACATACCTAACATATAAAAATTTAATACTAAATCAAATATGAACTTTCGCATAATTTTACAAATAAAATAGTTTATTAAACTTTATTGCAAAAGTATTTAAGGAATAATTTATTATGAAATAATTTAAATAAAATATGTGTTATATAATAAAATATTATATTTTATTTAAATGAAATATACTTATATCATTACAAATATTTAACATTCTTTTTTAAAATATAGGTACAAATTTATTACTAAAATATTTATAAACTTTTGAATAATTTTAAAAATAAAATAGTTGATAAATTATTTAAGAAATAAATTTTTTATTATAAATAAATAAATAAATAAGTTTTTATATAAATACGATTCGCGTTGAGAAACATCCATTTTGTTGTACAGGGTGAGCAAAAATACAGATTTTTAAAATTAAAAATTTTTAAATATTTTTTTTGAAGCGCTAATATAAAGAGTTGGTAAGGAGAAATAAAAAAGTCAAATGAAGTTTTTTCATATGAGTTTTTGATATGGAAAATTTAAGATATTAGTTTTCAAATTTTAACAAATAATTGTAGACATTGTAGACATGTCAGTTGAAAGCTTGGCTTTTTGGTTTCTCCTTACAAGGTCTTCATATTAGACCTATTTAACAATTTTTAATTTTGCAAAATCTACAATTGTTTTTTTGTGCACCCTATATAACAAAATAAAAGTTTCTCATCTTGAATGATATTTATATAATAAGCAGAAGAAATTATGAAGAGTGAATTTTCTTCGAAAAATTGAAAATAAATATTTTTACAAGTCCAATTTTTTATTAATAAAGACACATTAAATTTTGCATGGGTAATTAGGATATAAAATGCCACTTATAAGAGTACAAAATTAATTTTTGGAATTTCCGGTTTCGCCGGAAATGATACCAACTTTCGATTTTTAAATGGAATATATATATTTTTACATATTTATATATATTTTTAAATATTTAGAATCCTGAGGAAATTCTGAGTTAGACAGCATCCTCAAATTGACCTTTTGACGTTTCGTCATCAGAAAATGTTTCATCATAAAGATCAATCTAGAGTGCTTTGAACTATCTTATTTTCTTCTAATGGATTTACACCTGCCTGAAAAATGGAACTTGCCTTAGAAAATTGTTATTTAGCTATTCCACGCAGTCTAAACTTGTCAAAATTCGTTTTTCTCAAATAGTTCAAAGCACTCTAGATTGATCTTTATGATGATGCATTTTCTGATGATGAAACGTCGAAAGGCCAATTTAAGGATACTGTCCGACTCAGAATTTTCTCAGGATTCTAAATGTGTAAAAATATATAGGGCGTTTTATTTAAAAATCGAAAGTTGATATCATTTCCGGCGAAACCGGAAGTTCAAAAAATTCCTTTTGTACTCTTATAAGTGGCATTTTATATCCTAATTAACCATGATAAATTTCATGTGTCTATCTTTATAAATAAAAAAGTTACAGGGGTGCGCCTATTTTCAGATACACCCGGTATATATATACAGGGTGTTATGTAATTAATGTAATATATTAAAATACTGATTACGTTTTGACATAACGTGTAATGGAAAAATATTTAAAAAATATTTCCCAAAGATAAAGAAAAAATATGCATGAGAATTTTTTTACATTTTTTGTGATAGGCCACTGGTTACACACTTGTGTTTTTTGCGTACATAGATACCAACCAACAAAGTAGCTGCGCGTTGCCAGTTGTAAAAAATTGTTACTTAAAATTTTTCTTGCAAAAAATAAATAAAAACTCAATAAATACAAAAGCTGTATGCAATTAAAGCTCTGTATTTATTTACGTATCCAGCTATTAGCTTAACCAATTATTAGAAAATTTAGTCCCTATTTTAAAAACTCCATAACCACAAAATTAATTTTTTCTTGAAGATGAAATTAGGACAAGTTCATAGGTTAAACTTTAAACATTCAATTTGTGTAAATAAATCCAAAAGCATTTCCCTTAATATTTACAATTTGAGCACATAACCTAAAATTTGAAAGAAATGCACTAGATTCTGTCATAAAAGTTGCCAGATTTGGTTTGAATTTACCTTCATTACAAAAATAAAATAATAAACAATTAGGTAATAAAAACGCTAAATTAACAATTTGCATTGTTAATTTTGTCATTTTTGTAATTATGCTAATAAATTTAAACAAAATTTGGCAAGTTTTTTGACAGAATCTGGAAACCTTTGAATAAAAATCTCGTTAATGTAATAAATTTACGAAGGAAGTTGCCATTTTAAGAGTCTGATTATGAGTCATTTTTTCTGACTTGTGTTTGTTTATTTAGGTACCTACCTGTTTGGGCGTTTTTGGTTTGTTTAATAGGGTTTTTTGTTGTTTAATAGCACTTATGGTTTGTTCTCTGCGTTTTTGTTGTTTAATAATTAAACCTTGCAAAGAATTAAACGTTATAGCTTGGGGAAACGATTTTCCGCCATTTGTGGCGACCAATTGGTGCGGTCAGCTATTTTCTATCATTTACTCCTTCCTGAGGTTTTTTATTCAAAGCTGGAAACGCTGGTTGTTACCAACCATAACATAATAAATTAGGCAACCAGATTATACCAAAGTTCCTAGTCGATCAGTGGCGTAATTTTTGGTAGGATAAATTATTTTTAGTCTTTAGAATTTAGAAAAAAAAAGTTTCAGGTGCTTCTTTATGGACCCTAAGGAACAACCCATTTTAATATATTACATTAATTACATAACACCCTGTATAATATATTATTTAAGAAATAAAATTGATTTAGATACAATTTAAATTAAATATACTCAAGTTAAATAATAACATATATAATATAATATATTACCATATTTAAATGCAATGCAATATTGTACATTTGTACAACAGAAGTGGCAAATATTTTAAAAAAGAATGGCAAATATTTGTTATGAATAAATTACATAAATATAGAAAGTGATTATATTTATTATTAATTATTTAGTCAGTAAACTCCCTTAACTTTATTAAGGTCCTTTAGCCTTTATTTATCATTTTTCATACTAATACGTAAAATTGTCCATTTTTGAGACACCAAAATAAGAATTTTTAGTAGCCTAGGCAGTAGATTATTATTTTCAAATTTTCTGTTTTTTGTATGGGTATATATACCTAAAGGCATAAAGATTTATTGATGAGAAAGGGTAAATAATTATACTACGAGTAATAAAAATATGTGGAATATTTTCAGGTGTGATATAGCCAATATTGTTTGGGCAGCAAATATTTGTTTACAAGTAGGGTTGCCAACCGTCCTTTATTTCAAAGGACAGTCCTTTATTTCTAAATACTGTCCTTTGGCCTTTTGAAAGGTGTCAAAGGACGGCAAATGTCCTTTAAAAACCGGAAATACAGATAAATCCACAATTATTTCAAAAAAGGCCCGTACAAATACAATAAAGTGTAAAATTGGCAACATTTGAAATATTTTGGTAAATCCCCGAGCTCCAATTTATCCAGCATACCTTGTATTTTTATTTTGTTCCTCGTTGTGTTGATCCCTTGTGTGTAGTCGACTAGTCCCTGTGTGTAAGGTGTTTTTTAACCTTATTTTACAACTTTTTAACAGGAAACGGTAAGTGGAAAATACAATATTAAAATTATATTATTAGATTTTAGTTTTTTGTCGCAATATATTTTTAAACTTTAATTGGAAAATTAAATTAAACAGATTCATAAAAAGTAGCATTTTCTATTTTAAACAAGTAGGTAGTTGCCTAAATGCCAAATCATTATTTATTTGCAGGTTTTTGCTAAACATCATTAATCAAATCATCATGAATGGTGATAAAGTCGTCGATGCAAGTGATGATGTCCCAAAGTCACAGACATCTACGTCAAGCGGTGCCCCTTCTACACCACCTCGTCCAAAAAAAAAATCGGAAAAGCTGTAAAGTAGACGTGGCACCCAAAAAAAAATCCCAATTTGTCCTTTATTTCAATAACCGAAAGTTGGCAACCCTATTTACAAGTGGTATTCGGAGGACCATTTTATTGAACCAAAATTTAAAAAAAATCAAATTAAAGGCATTAAAATTGAGTTGCCCAAAATATTCACCTCTTAGTTAGGTACTATAAATTTTTAAACAATAAAAAGTAATTGTTGCGTATATTGGACTAGTACGAATTGCAGCGAATATTGTATTTACTAAAGGGTTTTTTTAATAGGGACGACCCATTTTGTTAATGGCATTTCTCGAATGGGAGTGTAGTTGGCTAAGCAATTCTATAACATTTTTAAACGTCAGTCTATGCCATTTAATCATGGAGAGATAAAGGCTTCAACAACGTCTGCAAACTGTTCAACTTTTTTATTAATGTTTACGTTTTACCG